GGCGGGCGAGAGGGCAGGAAGGAGGCGGCAGGGGGCCGCGGCGCCCCGAGAGGCCGCCGCCGCCGCCGCCCGGCGACAACGGGAATGTGGAGCGGCGGAGCTTGATCACCCTCCTCCTCTTCCTTCTCCTCCTCCTCCTCCTCCTCCTCCTCCTCCTCCTCCTCCTCCTCCTCCCCCTCCTCATGCCCCTCATCCTTATCCTCCTCCTCCTCGTCCTCGTCCTCTTCCTCCTCCCTGAGGATAGGATGGAATCCAAGGGTGGATGTTCGTTGTCTGTGCCACCTCGTCCTCAGGATCCCATTCCGCAGCTCGCCATCGCTCGCACGGTCCTTCCCCGTGCATCTGTCGGCTTCTTTTGTGCGTGCATGTTTCCCAGGGCGACACGGCAATGCTCCTGAGGGGAGGAGAAAAAGGAGCAGGCGGAGGAGAAAGAGGGGGAGGAGGAAGAGGCGGATGACGAGCAGGAGGGGGAAGGGTGAAGAGGGAGAAGAGGGACGATGATGATCATGAAGAGGAGGAAGATAAGGAGAAGGAGGAAGAGAAGGAGCAGGAGGAGAAGAGGAGAAGGAGCAGATGAAGAAGCCCCCGCCGAAGGAAGAACGCACACGCCCGAGCGCTGCCGAGTCGGGACCCCGCCTTGAACTCGCGGGGGCGCGCGCGCAGACATGAATTAGCGATCCATGGATCTGGCGCGCGGTCGCCAAATTCGGGGATGGACAGACCCCCCTTTAGTAAAACGTGGTTTAGTGAAAACGACCTGAGGCCCAAACCTGGCGGGCGCAAGCCTGGAAAATAACGGCCACGGCGCCATCTCGAGAACCGAAAACGGACAATTCACTAATCGACGTGTCACTGTTGGGGGTTCTGTCCACCTCCGACAAATCTGAAGGGGCCCTGGTACACACAAATAAATACACACACAAATAACATGAATCCATAGTTTCCCATATGTTCTGGGTGTTTGTCTTCCCCCCCACTGCCCATATGTTCCCATATCTTCTGGGGAACCGGCGATCAATTGTGCCTGTGTGTATTTTCCCCTCCTGAAAACCCATGGAACCGGGGGCGAGGTGCCCTCGCCGGCATGCGGCACGTGCCGCCTCGTTCGACGACGGAAGTGTGCGATGTCCCAGGGAAACGGGACCCGCCGCTCATATACGCCCCCATTGATCCATGCTTGCGATTGACGCGCCCGCGACATACGCCCGCTCATATACGCGTGCCCTTGATCATATAAATGGGACCCGTCGCTCATATACGCCCCCTTGAGGAACCACCGACAGACGGAGCCCCCAACGTTCTGCACCGCCGCTGCAGCCCTGGGTGAGGCGGAGAAGGAGGAGGAGGAGGAGGAGGAGGAGGAGTAGGAGGAGGAGGAGGAGGAGGAGGGGGGGGGGGGGAGGAGGAGGAGGAGGAGGAGGAGGAGGAGGAGGAGGAGGAGGAGGGAGGAGGGGGAGGAGGAGGAGGGTAAGAGTGGCCTTTGGTGCGCGGCTTTTTTGGGGGGGACCGCGGTGGGACAAAAACCACAAGCGCGCACGACGCATGATCGCAGCGTCGCTCGGCGAGCGGGGGACCGCTGCGGGCCCGCGCAGAGGGTCACTCCGGCGGAGGGTCACTCTTATCGGGAGCGGCCAAGAGGGGGGTGTCCAAGAGGGGGGGTGCAAATCATGACCGGCGGCATGTGCGCGGCCCAGCGGGGGGGCCAGGGATGTAATGAAATAAGAAGAGGGGCCATAAGGCCATAAAATCTGGGGAGATATCATGGCCCCCGCCATGATATCCACCCCCCCCCTAGTCATCACCCCCCTCTTTGCCGCCCCCGACTTACGCGTAGTCGACTTGGAAGCAGCCGCCCCGGGCATGCCGACGCGGTGGCATTGAAACGCAGGCCCACGCCGACGAGCTCTTGGGCGCAGACCGTGGACGCATGCAACAAGAAAGCTTGCTGTACCAGCCTCGAACGTATCCCTATCCCTAAGATCGACACGCCAAAAGGCGATGACAATCTTAGGGATTCGCCCTCAAAAATAAGGGAATCCCTAAGATTGGCATCGTGATGAGGAGGTGCCCAGCATAGGGATAGGGATATGTTCCAGGCTGGTAATTGCTAACAGAAATATTGGGGCGCACGCTTCGCCGATCTTTGTGAGTCCTGGGGTGCCCCAAGGTTTCTGTGGGTCCCTGGGGCCGTCGTCGGATTACGAATTCCGGTGGGGCACCTGCTAGCAGGCCAATTGCTTGTTTCACGTGCTGACCTCAAGCGGCTTGGACCTCCCCTCCCCCCCCCCCCACCAGTCCCGTCTTCCTCCGCCTTCTCCCCTCCTGGCCTTGCCAGCTCTGGGGAGACCAAAATGTACCGATACCGCTACTCCCCGGACCTCTCCCGCGGTGCGTTCTGACTTGGACTTCGAGGCGAAGCCAGCGTTAGCGACGAGGGCCACCCAAGAGGCCCCGGAACGGCCGAAGGGTAGCGGCACGGGTATCTCTTGCTCCTCGCTCCTCAAGGAACGGCGTCGCCCTCGTCGTCTTTCTCGGCGCAGCTGAGGAGGGACAACGAGGCGCAGCTCTGCTTCACGTTGCCCTTGGAGGCGCTGCACTGGGAGGCGCGGCTGTGCTTGACGCCGGAGTCCTGGGCCCACCGCGCCGCCAGGGATGTCTGAGGCCAGCTACCTCCTCCATGTTCCCCCTTCTCCTCCTCCTCCTCCTCCTCCTCCTCCTCCTCCTCCTCCTCCTCCTCCTCCTCATCATCATCATCATCATCATCATCATCATCATCCTGTTTCTCATCATCATCATCATCATCAGCAGCAGCATCATCACCACCACCACCATCATCATCATCAGCAGCATCAACAACATCAGCATCATCATCAGCAACATCAGCATCATCATCATCACCATCAGCATCACCATCATCATCATGCTCATCCTCATCATCATCATCATTATCACCATGCGCCTCTTCATTAACATATATATAGTATCATTATTATCGTCATCGTCAACGTCATCATCAACGCCATCATCATCGTAATCGGCATCAACAACATCAGCGCCATCGTCACAATCATCACAATCATCATCGTCACTATCACAATCACCATCACAATAACCGCCATCACCATCACCATCACCAGAATCACCATCATCACCATCATTTCCATCATCATCATGAACCACCATCAGCATTACCGTCATCACCATCATCACCATCATCACCATCATCATCATACTCAACATCGTCATCACAATCATCAACGTCGCAGTTATCGTCATCGTCATCGTCGGCAACAACAATAATTTCAAGACTGCTCGCTCTTACCTGCTCGCGGGCCATTCAATACGTATATCCCAACCGACCATTCCTGCCCTCTTCGTGTTCGATCGCATCCCCTCAGGGGTAATGCTTCTTACCTGCAACGTGCATTTCGTGCAGCCGCTGAGGCAGGAGAAGGGAGGACGGATGGGAGGAAGGGAGGACGAATCACCACGCGCATTCTGACAATCCCCATCTTACTCATCAGCATCATCCTGGTCCCCTCCTCATCCTTATCATCATCCGCATCATGATCCTCATCAGTATCACCGTCAGCACCACCAGCGAATTCATCATCAACAACAACGACAGCATCATCATCATCAACAGCATCAGCAGCATCATCAGAATCGTCATCATCATCACCATCATCATCGTCACCACCATCATAAACACCATCACACCAATAATCAGCATCATCATCCTCATCAGCATCATCATCATCATCATCATCATCCTCACCTTCACCCCTATCATCATCAGTACCATCATCAGCAGCATCCTCATGATCATGAGCATGAACAGCATCATCATCTGCATCCTGAGCAGTAGCAGCATCATCAACATCATCCCCATCATCTTCATTATCATCATCATCCTTATTATCACCCTCATCATGCTCAGTATCCTCATGATCCTCATTACCGACATCCTCATCTTCATCCTCATCATCACCACTATGTGATCGTCATCATCATCGTCACTATAACCATCGTTCCTTCTACATCCTGACCCCGATCCCTCCACCGACCTCTCCATAATCGACCCGCCACCGACTCCTCCTCCTCCGCACCGCCCCCCTCCTCCATCATCGAGTCACCCCGAGGCCACGCGTACACGTGGCCATCCGAAAGTACCCGTCGCCACCCGAGGCTCACCGAAGCCATCTGGACGCTCGACGCCGGACCACGAACGAAAACGAAGACGACGACAAGGACGAACAGGACGACGACGAAGACGAGACCAACCACGACGACGACGACGACCACGACGACGACGACGACGACGACGACGGCGGCGGCGGCTGCGGCGGCCGCGCCAGCGGGTGCGAGAAAGGAGCCCGAGCCCCGCTCGCCGTAGGGGTCGCCCCCGGGAAGATCGTGGACATGTCCTCGCCTCGGCCAGCGGCAAATGGGATCACAGAGAGGGGCGGGGGGGGGAGAGGTCAGTGCGGCTCGTGCCGCTGGTGCTCCTCCGCCTCCTCCTCCTCCATCCTTAGGACGGGGAGAGTATTCCAGCATCGCTGATGCATCTTGGGATTGCTCTGATCCAGTCTTTTGCCTGAAGATTCATAATCCCTGCAGTATGTTCCGATAAAATATCATGGCCAGCGGGCTCCGCAAACCACATGGGTAAAGAGATAATGTCGTCAAGCATACACTAAAGTAACACTGAAGGGAGGAGGCCCGCCCGCCGGCCGACGCACGCGCGCGCGCCGCAGGTTCGCTCTTTTTTCCGTTCCCCTAGAGCCAAAGTAGTATAGCTGCTGGAGCAGAAGTAGTCAGTCAGTACAGCAGGCAGACAGCGCGCGCAAGAAGAGAGAGCAGGCAGGGCGAAAAGATTGGTGGCGCGGAAGGGGTGCATTGACTCCCCCCGCGGCGGGGCCCGTAAAGCCGCCCCGACCCCCCAAACCCCCTGCCCTGTACATATGCACAGCCACCGGAGCGAACCCCAAAAGCATGTTACCGCTCAGCCAAAGTGGGGGGAAGGCCGACGAAACCCGACGTTCCCCGCCTGGGCGAAATGTTCCCAGCTCAGGCCACAATGCCCGCGCACACCTGGTGCACCCGCTCCACGAAGTAGTGCGGACCAGCATCGACTTTGTCGTACCGGCCCCGTTGCGCTGCATCGCCTTCTCCAGCGACCTCACCATTCACGAGTCGTCCCAGGGGTCGCTGTTGCTCCAGCGCCACTGGTTCTGATTCCTGGAGGAGCTGTCCTCTCCTCTGCTCGAACTCCAGACACTTGGCTCACTTCTGCCCTGGCCCATCTTCGGCGGCCTCGCTCCGGCGCAGGCGGCGGTGGAGGCTCCGGCAAGGTACTTGGCACCCCAGAGTCACGCTGGAACTTGTCATTGCACTCGTCCAGACTAAACCATTGCCACGTTTCGCTGCGACCGGTGACTCGGTGATGCCGGGATAATGTACACAGCATCCCTAACTTTCTCCATTCTCGCTCTTGTCTTCGCAGTCGACGGTCGCGTCGTAGACGCCGTCCACGGCCAGCCCGGGGCCGCCGCCATCGCTCGCGCGGCCGCCAACCGGCTCTACGGCCAGTCATTCAGGGATGGGCTCATCAGTCCAGGATTCGCCCGCCCACGACTGGATTCTGTCATGAACGATCCAGCCATCACTGGTGCCTGACGCAGCTGGGCCGGCAGACGCAGGGGCGGCCCGATAAGACTGCCTTCCACACTGGTACCTCGGTCGCGATGCCGGGCGAGAGCATTGCTGAGTTCGCTGTCCCAGGGCGGCGGCGCCGCTCGAGGTTGCAGCATCTGCTGGCGATTCAGCTGGGATTGTCTGCTGGAGAGTTGGCTGGGCCATTCCCCTCCTTTTCCTCTTTAAGACATGTGGTAATCCCAATATCATTATCGATATTGAAGACCCCAAAAAGGCGGTTGGCAAGTCAAATCTTGACACTGCATTGAGACTCCGCAGGCGCGTGCACGGGCGGGAATTCGATCGAACGGTTGGTTCGAAAAATTAAATACACAAGCTCGGATAATCCCGACGGCGCCTCATGAATGATGTCTTTGTACAACGGGCTCGCATTCGGAACAGCCGATAAGTATTCAAGAACAAGTTGCGTTCAACTTTGATAACTTCTGGCCTCTCGCATGTTTAAAGGTTGTACTTATAGTCAACCATGCAGCAATACATGAAAATCACAACAGGCCAAGAAGGCAGCGTTCTATGCCGAACAATCAGCGGATGTCGCTGGGCGAATGTTTATTGCACACGCCGTCCGACGCCGCAGCATTCCCTTCACGTTCCGAGATGACTTCATCAATGCGCATTGGCCGATGATGAAGTTCAGCAACGAGTCGGAAATCTATGTCTCCTACTGGGTTCGATGCAGACGCTCGGTTCGATGCTTTCAAGTTATCCGTCAACACCCGAACAGATGGAATGGCAAATCCTCTTTCTTCCATCACTTGTTCCCACTGGCCCCAGCCCGTCCACGGTCGGGTTTGCTCTCCACGAACATGTTCCCAATCGAAAACTGCAAGCGCAGGGCATCTCATAGGACGAGCATATTGGTCCAGATCTGGTGTCCAAATCAATGGCCACCACTGGGCAGCTTGGGCGCTTGCCAGTCAATGAATCTGAGCTTGAGGAGTTCCAGATACTGAAAGTATGGCTCGTGACGCGCCGGCGGCTGCGCCGAGGCGCTGCCAGGACGCCAGGACGGAACGGCCCCTGGCCGCGAATTCATGAACGCACCACCAGCCAGAGCCGTCTTGGAAAGCATGTGTTCCTGATTAACAAATTTGAGCTGACGTTCCTCGGCCCTGCCTAAGTTGCCCAACGCATCAGCAGAGCTCTTGCGCATTGCTCTTAGCCTGTTAGGAATCACCTTAGATCGGCCCCCCCCCTCTCGGGGGGGCGTCAAGACGCGGGGCCAGTCCAAGTCTCGCCCACGCAGCAACCAATCAATTTTCTCCAGGCGTTTGCACGGAATTCGCTCTGACGTTTGTTTTGTACCTGACAGGAGTGAGGCATTGCAAACAGTATCTGGAACCGGCCCTCACGACATGGTATCGAGCGCAAATGCACCTCCCATCGTCTGTCCACATTCTCCGCGTGATAAGGGCCTTTTCTTTTTTGAACAGCGCAATTTGCCCTACGTCGGCTACTTGTTCATCGGAGAAGATCCGCATTCTGATTGCATCCGACGGGTAAGCAACCTCACACGCAGACCACTCTTGTGAAAATATCAAGTGCCACATCATATGTGGCACGTTGCTTCGACCAACTTGATCAACCACTTGCAGTTGCACAATGCGAGGAATGCAATTGAAACGTGCTTGCCCTGTCGTCACAAGAGTTCCATCGCGACAGATGCGATACCTAAGGCGGGTCGCTACCCGTCCTTTGAAGACAACAACGCGTTACAAGTCCTCATTATGCGTCGCATCAGCATCCCAGAGAGACGGGGCGATTGCACGAGGCCAAATTCCATGCCACCGCCAGCTGGGGCAGCGCCCTCAGCCTGATATACATTGGCGGGCGGGGCCTCACCGTCCTCCCGAAGGCTGAACCAACGAGGGACGCGTTCAGCATATTCGACGGGGAACTCGCGCCTCGCCGGTATCAGTCTTAGAAGTCCGTAGCCAGGTGCTCTGCACAATCCACTGAACTTGTTCGGGTACTTAATAGTCCCTGCTCCCAACGTTGACTTCTTCATGGATTATAAGGATGCATCATGCAGAAGATGCCCGCGGCACAGCGCCATCCCAAACTCGCGCGGAGCATACATGCGCTCTATGCTGTGAGCAGAACAAGAGTGCCCCTGACACGCAAGAAAGAACATCGGCATGGGCTTGGCAGCCCGTTCAGCTCTATCAATGGCGACGACTAAGCCCCCGCGTTCCTCATGAACGACTGCGTCGCGTGAGGCGTCTGGGTGCAGAAAAGACCGCCCTTGCTCAATTATCTGTGTCTCTTCAAGAATCACAATGTCGTCGGCTCTACTGCCTAGAACATCAATTTCTCCCGATAACAGCATTGTCAGGCCATGCGTTGCAAGAGCAGTAGTGGCGCGCGTGGCACCATCAGTCATCATCTTCCGAACGAGGTCGCCTACATACACCCACCCGCCCGATGATCGGGAGTACTCGGCGCAATGTCTCGCCATGCACACCGCGCACTCACCTACAAACAGCGCTTGGGAGTGCTTTCGGTGGCTGCGCTTTCTCCAGAGCTCTGAGCTTCCCAGCATGGCGGGCCTCCGGCCATGCCTCAACAGCTTTGCCTCCGCTTCCTCGGCTGCGCCGGTAGCGTCATTCGGCAATACTAGAGGGATGAGTGCATTGTAGGCCTCCTGGGAAATTGAATCTGGCCTGCCATCCGAGTCAAACTCTGCTTTGAAAAATTTGACTGCTCGGTCAAAACTTTCTACCTCTAGCTCCCCAAGCAGCGCAAAGATCGGGTCGCGCACCATGCGCGAATTCTCCTCGATGGCATGATAGGCACGCCCACGAACGGCTGCGATGCGCGGGGGCACTGGGCCAGCCCTGTGGGCTTCAGTGACCTGCTTTCAGACATCGTCAATCGTTCCATCACGAAGGTTCTCTCGTTGTTGTTGATCAAAGTACAGAAGTCCTTCATCAGTCGTGAATCTGGCACGACTGACATTCCTAATTCGACCTGGGGGGTCTTGCCCCTCAGGACGGAGCTGTTTATAATCAGGCGTCGGCGGAAGAGTCACGCGAAAGAACCAATTCGTGACTCCTGGCCCACTATCAGCATCCACATCTTCCGCGATTACAGTAAGATTTCCCCCCGGAATCGGGGGCCCTCAGTCCATTGTCCTGCGGTGCCGCAGGTCGCGCATCACTTTCCCCATGCGTTTTCGCTGCGGCTGACCCTTCGTTGTCCCCGGTTGTACCGGTCAACGTCACAGGGTCAAACCTCACTCTGATATTTGGAACTTCCCCTGTGGGAACATATGGGGAGTCCCGCCTGTAGTTTTACTGCACGCACTGCGTCGGGGTAGCTCGACATCGGCTGTGCCGACGAGCTCCATCCACCTTGGTCTTCGAAGTCATCGCCCGAATCAAAGATGGCCTTCTGACTTGCCCCAATCGTTATACTGTCAGGGGCGGGACCGACACACCGGTCAGGGAGAGGATCGAGATGACGCGATGGACCAGGCGAGGTGTGGAATCGGGAATATTATTTTTTTCTATCGAATGGGGGCTACCCCCTTCAGATTGTAAGTCGCTCACATCCTCACTTTGCCCATGCAACGCATACTGCACCGCATGCTCTGCGCCTAGGATTTCGGCGCCCGGCATTTCGATCGTGATGTGGTCCAACAACTTGTCCATCTCGAGATCTACGTCGATCTATGGCTGAAAGCCAGGGCGTGCCGACACTGGCTCACATGGTCCCTCGGCGGAAGTTTGGGCTGTGCCAGACCTTCCGCTCGAGTGTTGTTCTCTGGACCTCGTCACTGAATCAACCGATGAATCCTTTTCTGTTAAGTCAAGCACAGTAAATGATTCTTTCTTTCTGGGAAGGTTAAGAGGATTGTGTCGCCTCGTTGAGGCGCCTATACTTTCGTTACGCTCGGAAGGTCTTCGGCCTTCTGTTCGTCCGAGCGCTCCTTCTTGCGACCCCATGCTCTGCCGTCGCTTCGGCTGATAACCAGTCTTTTGCCTGAATATTCATCATCCATGCAATGTGTTCCGATAAAATATCATGGTCAATGGGCTCCGCAGATGACATGGGTAAGAAGGGATAACGCCGTCAAACATACACAAAAATAACACTGAAGGGAGGAGACCGCCCCGCCGGCCGACGCACGCACGCGCGCCGCAGGCTCGCTCCTTTTCCGCTTCCCTTAGAGTCACAGTAGAATAGCTGCGGGAGCAGAAGTGGTCAGTCAGTACAGCAGGCAGACAGCGCGCGCAAGGAGAGAGAGCAGGCAGGGCGAAAGAGTGGTCGTGCGGAAGGGAAGCATTGACTGATCCTCCTCCTCCTCCTCGTCCTCCTCCTCCTTTTCCCCCGCCTCCGTCTCCTCCTCCTCCTCCTCCTCCTCCTCCTCCTCCTCCTCCTGCTCTCCTCCTGCACCTCCCAACCCTCCTCCTGTTCATGCCCTCCCCTCCTCCTCATCCTCCTCTTGCGCTGTCATCCTGTCCTCATCGCCCTCTTCCTCCTCCTCCTCCTCCGTCTCCTCCTCCTCCTCCTCCTCCTCCTCCTCCTCCTCCTCCTCCTCCCTCCTCCTCCTCCTCCTCCTCCTCCTCCTCTCCTGCCTCCTGCACCTCCAACCCTCCTCCTGTTCTGTCATGCCCTATCCTCCTCCTCCTCCTCCTCCTCCTCCTCCTCCTCCTCCTCCTCCTCCTCATCATCCTCCTCCTGCGCTGTCATCCTGTCCTCATCGCCCTCTTCCTCCTCCGCATCCTCCTCCTGCTCCCCCTCCTCCTCCTTATCCTCCTCCTCCTCCTCTGCGGCCTCCTCATCTTCCTCCTCCTCCTCCGCCTACTCTCTCTTTTCCTCCTCGTCCTCGTCCTCGTGCTCGTCCTCCTCCTCCTCCTCCTCCTCCTCCTCCTCCTCCCCTCCTCCGTCTCCTCCTCCTCCTCCTCCTCCTCCTCCTCCTCCTCCTCCTCTCCTCCTCCCTCCTCCTCCTCCTCCTCCTCCTCCTCCTCCTCCTCCTCCTCCTCCTCCTCCTCCTCCGCCCCCCCCACCCCCCCCGCGCGCGAAAACTCCCTCCCCCCGCCCCCCCCGGCCATGCTTAACCTGCGCCCCCCTGGCGCCCCCCACGCCCACCCCCACACGGCCGAGGGCCAGACTCTTGACCCTGGCGGTGCGCTCGATCGCCAGCGGCTGCTTGTAGATAACGCTCTGGGCGACGCGGGGGGGGGCATCATCCGGTTTCCTTTTCGTTATGTCTCCCCCTCCTGCCTCCTGTTCCTCCTGCTCCTCCTCCTCCTCCTCCCTCGCTCCTCCCTCGCTCCTCGCACTCTCTCTCTCTCTCTCTCTCGCTCTCTCTTTTTCCCTCTCTCTCTCGTTCTCTCTCTCTCTCTCTCTCTCTCTCTCTCTCGCTCGCTCCTTCTGTCTCGCTCTCTCTCTCTCTCTCTCTCTCTCTCTCTTGTTCCCGACCATCCTGTGGTGCTGAGTCTTCGTTTTGAAGAGACGGTCCCCGCGTTTCTTCCGACCCTCACTCCTTCCCTCCATCCTTCCTTCCTCCTCCCCCTCCTCCGTCCTCCCATCCCTGCCTCAGCCCTGCGCACGTCCTCAGCGTTTCGTGGCCAGGCGGTGTCCACATGCGTCTCCCCCACCCAACACAGCGCTTCGTGGCCACATAGGGAGCCCCACCTAAGGCCCCAGTGGCGGTGTCCACATGCGTCTCCCTCACCCTGCACAACGTTTCGTGGCCACATAGGGATTTCGGCTCACCCACGCAGCACAGCGCTTCGTGGCCCCATTAAGAGATCCACCTAAAACACCACTGACGGTGTCCACATGCATTTCCCCCACCCAGCACGGCGTTTCGTGGCCCCACGAGGTGCTCCACCTAAGGTCCCAGCGGCGGTGTTCACATGCGTTTCCACCACCCAGCACAGCTGCTCGTGGCCCCTTAGGGAGCTCCATCTAAGGTCCCAGTGGCGGTGTCCACATGCGTCTCCCCCACCCAGCACAGCGCTTCGTGGCCCCATAGGGAGCTCTACCTAAGGTCCCAGCGGCGGTGTCCACATGCGTCCCCCCCCCACACAGCACAGCACGTCTTGGCTCCATAGGGAGCCCGACCTAAGGTCCCAGTGGGGGTGTCCACATGCGTCTCCCAGACCCACTACCAGCGTTTCGCGGCCACATCGGGAGCTCCACCTAAGGCCCCAGTGGCGGTGTCCACATGCGGCTCCACCACCCAGCGCAGCGCTTCTTGACTCCATATGGAGCTCCACCGAAGGCCCCAGTGGCGGAGTCCTCATGCGCCCCCCCCCCAACCCCACCCAGAGCAACGCTTCGTGGCCACATAGGGAGCCCCACCTGAGGCCCAGTGGCGGTGTCCACATACGTCTCCACCACCCAGCACAACGCTGTTTGAATATATGTGGAGCTTCACCTAAGGCCCCAATGGCGGTGTCCACATGCGTCTCCCCCACCCAGCACAGCGCTTCGTGGCCACATAGGGGGCCCGACCTAAGGCCCCAGTGGCGGTGTCCACATGCGTCCCCCCCACACAGCACAGCACTTCTTGGCTTCATAGGGAGCCCGACCTAAGGTCCTGGTGTTCACATGCGTCTCCCAGATCCACTACCAGCGTTTCGCGGCCACATCGGGAGCTCCACCTAAGGCCCCAGTGGCGGTGTCCACATGCGGCTCCACCACCCAGCGCAGCGCTTCTTGACTCCATATGGAGCTCCACCGAAGGCCCCAGTGGCGGAGTCCTCATGCGCCCCCCCCCCCCACACCCAGAGCAACGCTTCGTGGCCACATAGGGAGCCCCACCTAAGGTTCCAGTGGCGGTGCCCACATACGTCTCCACCACCCAGCACAACGCTGCTTGACTCCATATGGAGCTCCACCTAAGGCCCCAATGGCGGTGTCCACATGCGTCTCCCCCACCCAGCACAGCGCTTCGTGGCCACATAGGGAGCCCGACCTAAGGTCCCAGTGGTGGTGTCCACATGCGTCTCCCCCATCCAGCACAGCGCTTCGTGGCTCCATGGGGAGCTCCGCCTAAAGCACCAGTTGCGGTGTCCACATGCGTCTCCCCCACCCAGCACAGCGCTTCGTGGCCCCAGAAGGGTGCTCCACCTAAGGCCCCAGTGGCGGTGTCCACTTGCGCCCCCAAACCCAGAGCAGCGCTTCGTGGCTCCATAGGAAGCTCCACCTACGGCTCCAGTAGCGGTGTCCACATGCGTCTCCCCACCCAGCAAAGCTGTTCGTGGCCACATAGGGAGCTCCACCTAAGGCACCAATGGCGGTGTCCACATGCGTCTCCCTCATCCAGCACAGCGTTCCTTGACCCCATGTGGAGCTCCACCTAAGATCGCAGTGGCGGGGTCCACATGGGTCTCCCCTATACAGTACAGCGCTTCGTGGCCCATAGGGAGCTCCACCGAAAACGATACCCACGATTGCGGTGCTCACAACTGCATATGGTTAGGTCCTTCGCCAAGCTATGTTTCCGTGCTTGTTTGTTTATCTCTCTCTCTCTCTCTCTTTCTTTCTCTTTTTCTCTCTTTCTCTGTTTCTCTCTCTCTCTCTCCCTCTCTTTCTGTATATACATACATACTAGAACCATTGCGCGCACTTCGCGCGCGCTCAGGTTCTAGCAGGCCCCAGGCCTTGCCGAGAGCAGACGGTCTCAACGGGAAACGAAAAAGTGTCCATGATGCTGGGCGTGCCGTCATCGTCCTCGTCGACGTCCTCGTCTTCGTCGTTTCGTCGTCTTCGTCGTAGTCTCCAATTTAAAGAGGGCACTTGGGACAACTCTATGAGAAACGATCCGATGATCCGCGGAGGGCCGCGAGAAGGCGATCAGCCATGTTCCCAGTAAACTTCCCGGGCAGCTCTCCGGCAGCGTGATGGTACTTCGGAGCCTCTGGAAACTCTCGGGCCAATGACGAACAATATCCCCAGAAGGATTCCTGGGGACATGATTGTTGGGTGTGTTGGGGGGCCTCTTAGGCGTTCTCTGGGGGCCCCTTAGGGACCATTTGAAGCTTGCTGGTGGCCTCTTTGGGGCTTCACGGCGCTTCTTGGGAGCCTCATCATCATCATCATCATCATCATCATCATCATCATCATCATCATCATCATCATCACCACCACCATCATCATCATCATCATCATCATCATCATCATCTTCATCATCATCATCATCATCATCATCATCATCATCATCATCATCATCATCATCATCATCATCATCATCATCATCATCATCATCATCATCCCCCTCGTCCTCCTCCTCCCCCTCCTTCTCCTTTCAGCAGGGGTGCTGCTGAAAAGCCCCTCCCCCCCCTCCCCCCCCCCTCCCCCTGTATACCCCCTTCTGTGCGTGCCGACACACCCCCGATATGCCCCCTCTATATACCTCCCCTCCCCTTTTCCCCCTCTCCCCCCTTCCACCTACATACCCCCCTATGTACTCCCCTCCCTCCTATATACCCGATATACCCGATATACCCCCCTATACACCCCCCTTCCCCATCATATGCCTCCGAAGTACCCCCTCGATACGCCCCTCCCCCCCTATGTGCCCCTTATGTTCCCGCCTCGAGGCTCGGACTCCAGACGTGCGCTGTCCTGATGCTTCCATGCGGGGCCCGCTGAAGCCCCGATCTCTCTCCAGGACCGGCTATTCCTCCTGGGTTGTTCTTCGATGGCCCCGAGGCCTGGCGGCGGCCCACAGGGGGCCGCAAGCGACGAGAAGCTGTCGGTCTGCCCTTTCCAATACGTTGGAGGTCTGGGGATGTAGGTGAACGTTTTCCTGTTCGGCGTTTTGACACTGGGTGGAAAAGGGGGAGGGGGGGTCTGGCTCCGGACCTATGCTTAGTGCGACTGTTTGCAAGAGTGCGTCCTAGGGGGGAGACCCACCTGCTCGTAACAGGCGCCAAAAGAGGCCAGGGTCTACTCCATGGGCGGGGGGAGGGAAGGGGGCGAGGACCCGCGCCGATCGGGAAAACAACGAATCAGGAAACGATCGCTAGCCTGCTTTCTGCTTGAGGCTCGGGCCACAGAGGCCCGTGTGAGCCCACGGTCCGCCCGAAAGCGGCGGAGGTGCGCGCATCGCATGGAACAGGCGCGCGAAGGGCAGCCTGGCCCGAAGCCTCCGCGAGCATGTCACCGGGCCGCACGGGGAGTCCTGCGGCGCGCGGTATTCCTCTTCCTCCTCCTCCTCCTCCTCCTCCTCCTCCTCCTCCCCATTTTTCGCGGCAAGCATCGGCACAACAGCGTAGCGTTCAGCACAGCAACGGCAGCATGCACGGCGAAGTCATCAATCCCCCACCCTATCATCCACATCCAACCCCCCTCCCTGGCCCTGCACCTGCCGCAGCTCGGCAAGGCCCGTCCTCGGGGCCAGGCCTGGACGGCGAGCCCGAGCGAGGTGGCGGCGTCGCACGACAAGGCTGTCGTCGTCGCCCGCGCCTTCAGTGCGGTCGTCTCTCGCAAGTCTGCGGTCGAGGGCTGTACGCCTTCCCCGCTTCGGGACACGCCGCTCGGGGCCCATCTGCGTGGACCCCCGAGCAGCAGCTCATATGATGGGTACCTACACTCAGGTCCCCAAGCAGCGCATGAAAGCCACAAGCACGCGGGCGCAATCGCGGCGCCGCGCGCGCGCTCTATATACGGATCGAGTGGCACGAAGACCTGGGCCACATACTTAGGCGGCGCAACGTCTCGCTCGCTTGGCCGCATCTCCCCCATCTCGCCCTGCCAGCACGGCGGCGCCGAAGGCGAGACGCATGGACGTCGCTGAACGTCGTAGGCGTTCGTGACCCCGCCCCCCCCAAACGGGAGGCCGACCCGCCTGGCGCCACGGTGGACACGGCAAATTGTCACGAGGAGGAGGGGGAGGAGGGGGAGGAGGAGGAGGAGGAGGAGGAGGAGGAGGAGGAGGAGGAGGAGAAGGAGGAGGAGGAGGAGGGGAGTTGGAGTTGGAGTTGGAGGAGGAGGAGGAGGAGGAGGAGGAGTTAGCAACTTTTCTGTTCTCACGTCGTCGAGCGGCCGGGCGGCAACGGACGGCAGGTGCCACTTGCAGCTTTTCTGGTGGACTGGCTGCTCGCACGCCCCGAGCAGTGCCCGCACGTCGTGGGCGCACTGTCGAACTCACAACACGCACTGAGCATCCATCCCTTTGGGGGCCCATCGGACACGGGCGATGGCGCCTCGAGCGCTTTAAATACGCATCTGGTGGCATAAAAAACGGGGCCGCGTCCTCCGGCGGCGCTGCTTCCCTCCTGCGAGGCCTCATCTCGCGCGAGAAACGATCCAAGAATTTTTCGGCGAGCATGCAGCAAAGCCTAGGTTGATACTTCAAATTCGCCGTGCGATATTCGCCAGCAGCTTCATCGTATCCGATGGTGACCGCACGGGCCACATGGGGACACCGTCCTTCCCCCAGAAGCTCTTGGATCCTAGACGCAGCTGACGGCAAGTGCACGCGCGCGAGCGTGGTGGGCTTCCTGGACGGCGCGCCTGTGCAGCACTTATCAAACGTGAGCTCGTTGACTCCCCCCCTGCTGCAGAACCTGCATCTCTGGCAGCATCCAACACGATGCCGCCTTCACTCGCCACCATGCTATGGCTGGGTGCTCTAGGATTCCCGGCGCAGCACACGCCCAGTATACTCTTAGCAACATCGCGGATGTGCACAATCAGATCATTTCCAATGGCATATTGTTATGCTTCTCTACTAGATAGACCGGGACGGCCCCGAAACCATTCGGCATCTCTCACTGGTCGTGGCCCTCTACCGCCCTTCGTTGAATTTCACAGGGCCGCGCTCCATGTTTCCCGCGGGGGGCCGCAGATCCTTCCGATAACTCGGCGCGCCCGAACCATTTGGATCCAAAGGACACCGCACTTGGTCGTCGCAAATCGCCGGCGACCTCTTCGTTTGCCACATCGACGCTTAAAACCCAAACTGGAAAACACCCCCCCCAGCGCTTAGAAGGCACCCTGGAAATCCCCTGCCCGCCTCTGGCCAGAGAAGAGGTGGAGCTGGAGGAAGTGCGGGAAGATAAGGAAGGCCGAAGGCTGGGGCTCAGGAAAGGAAGGCTCGGGCCCCTCGCCTCCCATGGTTAGGGGGTCTGGCGGCGGCAGCCTCGGGCCGACGATCCGTCTCGTCGGGGCCTCCGCAAAGTCAGGTCGTCGGCCTCGGGCCTAGAAAGCTCTCGCCGTTGCTGCATCCTGCTCGCGCATCTCCATCGCCCTCTCCTCGCCGGGGCGGTGGGGCTGCGCTCGCAGGGTACAAGAGAAAAACTTCCGCCTGCGTCTAACACGGCACAAGCAACGGGCGCGGGCGTAAAAATCCAGACCGCAGGCCTCAAATATGCGACCCTCGATCAAGTGCTCCGCATCGCCCAGGGCTCGGCGCACCTTGGTCACGCGCCCGCACCCGGCGCCCATCGTCTGCACGGCGAAGCCGCACCCGTAGCACAGGTGCACTGGCGCCCGCGCGACCTTCGCCACGAAGGGCGCGTCCTCAACGACCAGCTCTTTCACCTGCTGAGCGACTTCCCTGCGCCACAGCTCGAGCTTGGCACTGTCATCGAAGTTACGACACGCCTCCCGCCGCACGGCCTTGATGAGCTCCAGGGCGCGCTCTGGCTCTTCGATATCCTGCATCTTCGCGTTGGTGGCTCAGCGTCTCCCTCATCCACTGCAGGTCCTCTCCGATAAGTCCTGTCCAGCTGGTTTGACGAAGGATTCATATATACCTATACCCGTCTCGCCTTGGCAAGAGCTTGCAAGAAATCTACTGAGCGCTTCGCAGAAGCCTCCAGCCACGGAAATGCAATGCCGTCACCGCGCCCATATCACCCCGCTACTGCGGGCTGCAGCGGCGCCCCCGAGAAATCGCGGGTGCGAGCGATGTCGGAAACTTGCCGAGAGAAAATAGATACGGGCAATGATGGGTACAGAACGTTTTGCGAGACATGCACACATCTATACCTATACCTGTTTTCTCTTGGTTTCCACCACAGGGCGGGGCATCTGCTGCGACCACCTACGCCCAATAAGGGCAAATACAGTCAGATCAAAAGGCTTGCGACGCGCACTCTTTCACAACGCCGTCGCCCACGCGATGCGCGGCTTCCTCTGGCGCAAATTTCAAGTGAAAACGGGCATAAGCATAGATGCACGTTCCGTGATGGCTGGCTCATGCCAGAGGAGGTCGACGAGATGGCGGAACTGCTTAGGCGCGTCGGCGACGATCCACATAGCACGTCTCAAGCGTCGGCATCTGAAGTACGCGCCTAGGCCCACTCGCCCCGCCTGCAACAGAGCCTGCTCCATGGGCGCATCTGCTACACACGCGCCGAAAGGCTCCTCCACCTATCTTGGACCACGACTCGGCATAAAACAGGAGTCGCGATGTAGCCGACGCGTCGACAGACTTCACCTTGGTCTCCTGCTTGAGCCCAGGCCAACGCAGGGCCGCTCTCTTCAAGGGCACCCGCCTGAGCAAGTCCTCTCGCCGGAAGCTACGGGCCTGCTTGCCATCGCCACTGATGACATCGCCCCATGCTGATATTGCTTCGCAATCCGCACACGCAGGCCGAACTGCTTGGCGGCGATGACAGGTGGACTCCGGGCGCACGGTCTGCTTCGCCCGGCGTGAATGACGGCCTCGAATGTTGACCATCATCGTAGTCTTACCTTCTTCGCAATCGAATTTGAGGCCGAAAGACGCCGAGCTCTGGTCCATGATGACGCCGGTGGCGCGGAGAACGCAAATCTACCTCAAGTATTTGTTGCAGAAGACGGGGTATACACAACCATCGGCAAATGTCCAATCTTCCAAACAATTTCCAGGCGCCACTGCTCCTGCGAATGCACCAAGAGACTCTCCTCGAAGACTCTCCGACTCTACGAACATCAGGCAACATTCCGCTCGCAAGCCCTCCGCGGCTCCGTGCGCAATCTTGGCCTGGAGAACATCGTATACCCATCCTGCCACATAGATGCCTGGTCGGGCGCCTTCGCTTGCAACTGCAACCTGCGATGCACCCGTGGTGAACCAAGTGCACCTGTGCGCTTCTGCATTGAGCTGGCATAGGTGCGCGGGCACCTTCTCTGGAAATATGCCAAGCATCTTCATCATCTCTCCGACTGCTGGCATGAGTGTGATCGGCGTCTCCAGCTCCTCCAGGAAAGCTCCAAGGTCGTCCTCCTCCATCGGCAGATCCATCAGGAACTGCCTGACCACTCAATAGAAAGCATTGGCAATATCAAAGGTGGAATGGCCGTCACCTGGCGCCTCGCAGTGATGTCCAGGAATGCTTGAATATGGTGGCTCACCGTTGCTGTCGAATGCCTGGCTCTGCCTCCACGCTGCGCATCACCTCGCCCTGTGACGAATGTGTGGCACAACTTCCCCATGGTACTGCGACGCAAGATCTCACGGTATCCAGTCACGAGGTTACGCGCGAGCTTGGGCTTCGGAATCGCTGCAGCTCGTCCAGCAGAGGAAGAGAGGGGCCCCTGCTGCAAAAGGCCGGTCTTCACGCGCAACGGGCGCAGCTGCGACGCCATCTCGGGGAAAGCTGCGCTCGCGACGTCTTCCGCGACGCCTCCCAAGCCTCCAACTTTACACCCAGCCGTTCCCGACAGCCCCTGCTGCACATCGATCTTGCATGGAATACTATCGACGCATATCGTCGTCGTTCGGGTCGCACTCCTGCGCCTGTATTCGCATTGTCTGCGGAGCTCCCCAGGCGCAATAGTCTTCGTCCCCTCTTATCTTTACACAATGTCGAAGCTCCAGTTCGCGTGGCTCAAGAAGGCAGCGCACTGGATCTCCGCCCGCATTTCGTCTCTGGGCAATGCCCCTCCCGCAACATTCATTGCGCGTGCCTTTTGCCACCGTGCCGTTCCAATGTCTGCGAGAGCCCCCCATTCCTCCTGAGCTCCGTTCCCGATGATTGCGCTCTGCAAAGCTTCAGCGAATTCCACCGGGTGGTCCTCCCGATCAGCCTTCAGCTTCACGACGAAGGGCTTCTTGGCGCTGCCTATGTAGAGGTCTACAGCCACGCGCATCTGCCCAAATAGACTAGCGCGCCCCACAGCCCCATGAATCTGGCCGCCACTCCAATGCCCCCACCAAATTCCCAGGCATCCGCCAACTGAACGCCCTCGGCATATCAAAAGGAACCGCCATCGAAGTACATGCCGCGCTCTCTTGGCAACCTTTGTGCGAATCGCAAGATACTTGCGTGATCTCCGTTGCCAGATGCGCGGTGCGCTTGCAGCCCAAATCGACGTACCCCGGTGCACTCCATCGTTTCCAACTGCATGTCGCGCTATATAGGCGCGAGGCACGAGGCACCGCAGCACCTGTTGGCTGCTCTCACGATATGCTCAGTAACCCCCTGGCAGTGCTCGTTGACCTCGGTATCCCACGGAATGGCTTGTGGCTTGGCAATCTCATTTTGAAATGCCTTCTGGGCTCCTGTGGACTGCAACTTCCGATGGTCTAGCCTTTTCATGGCGCCCATGCAGTTGGCCTTCGGTCTGCGGGTCACGCAACTTTGGGCCTGGACAAGGATTGGAAAGTTACCATCGTGAGCGGTAAGCATGTCAACGTCGTACTCTGCAGCATTTCTCCACGCCAAAGCATTCCGCGCAGCGTCAAGTGCGATGTAGTCGATACTGCGGCGGCGTCCGCAACTCGACTTCCAGGTGCAGCCCTGGCCCCGCGGTAGCACGGTCGCGGTCAGCACCATGTCGGCCGCGAGCACGATCTCACGCTTGCGGCCAGCTAAGGTCGCCCACGGCTCTACTCGCCCCCCTGCCCACTCGCCCGTTCGCGTCGGTCAGCAGCATATGCGGGTGAAAGTTCTGCAGTATCCCCCACGTAGCTCTTCAACACTCGCTGCGAGTGTCGATTTGATTTTGTTTTGCGAATGTGGAACGCGCGCCACAACCGCGACCACGTCGCATGCTGGCGCTTCCAGGTGGAGAACGAGCCAATTGCGCGGAGCTTCTGTAACCAGATACTGCCTCGGATGAACGAAAATCCCCTGGCCTTCCGCGCCAACGCCGCAGGGGGGGCGAAGGTCGACCAACACCCCGCAACCGCAGTTGTCACCCTCATCCGCCCCTGACACACGATCTGCCGAAAACTTTCCTGCGACTCGTGCACGTCCTTTCCCTCGCGCTTCATGCAGCCCGGCTGGATGCACATCGTCGCGAAGTCGTGCGCGTCGGATGGCGGATCGGCCTCGCGCATTCATCTCGTCGAGCCCCCCGCCCTCCGCCAGGGCGCGCACATTGCACTTCATGGTATTCAGCGAGAGCTCGGTGCGCCTGAGTTTCTTGAACTCCTGCTCCGTCTCATGGGCCGTTCTCACATGCGCAATATCAGACGGCTCGGGAGTCATATCACACTCAGGAACTTTGTCTTGCACGTCGGGGCATGCGCCGCGCTGGCCAGGTTCAAGTTCGGAGAGCCGTGCCCACTCCGCAGCCCTCTCGCAGGTTGGCGTCTGCACCAGCTCCATGTCAACAGACTCCAGTTCGGCAGGTCAGCAATGCTTGGCCATCGCTTGACTCCTGCCAGGGACGCCCAACAAGCCCTGGGGCGCACTCGACGCATATGTCATGCACATGACGCAACTCCTCGAGCAAGGACAAGATAAACCGGGCCAAGTCTGGGTTCCGCCGGCAACCGAAGACGCCGAGCGCCACCCCGATGCTCGGTGGCCCACGGGGTCTTGGCAATGCGAACCAAGGCCCACAGGATCGCGAGCATCTCCGCAGCGGCGCTCGACTTGGCGACATGCAGTGCCCGGGAGGTGACAATATTATGCACGCGTCCTCCTCGTGCCCCCGCATATGTCAAGTTCCCCATCGATATATTCATCTATGATTGCCACTCCCCATGCAAACTCTTCAGGTTCGGAATGCTTGAAGGACGCATCAACAAGCGTGTGTCGGCGCGTTGGAACTTGCGCAGCTGTCTAACAATGGCAACACTGCCATCGTGCCCTCATGCGACTTCAACTTCGAACAATCAGAAAGGATTTGAGGACCGCCCCATTCTTGCTGAAGTCGGCGCACAATAGGACTTCGCATTCCAAGAGGGCATCGCACCTGTCGGCCTTCACGCGCCTCATCTGGGCATCAGGTTCCTGGCGACGCTGTTGACGTCGGACGCCCGTCGATCATGCCCCGCTGGCTGTTCTCGCTCTTGCCCGCGAAGCTTCTGACAGCCGCTCGCCCACAATGCGCCTTATCTGAATTATCCTCGCTGCCTCCCGAGTGGCAGCTGGACGCGCGTGATGATGCTGAATAGCTGCGGCTCCGTGCTGAGGATGAATCGCGTACATCGCGTGCCGGGAGTTGGGACTGGGGAGGCTCTTCTCGGTCTCGCTGCGAGAGACCCCCTTGTCCTCGGTTCACGCCGAGACCCCACCCCTTGCTGCCCGCGACCCCTCTGCCTCGTGATGCCCGAAGGCCTGCGTTGCCCTGGGGCGGGCCGCTAGGGGCTTCGCGATGGCGGGCTGCACAATGTGGGTCGGCTTCGCCACCGCCCGCTCCGCCTCCTCGGCAATCGCGCGGCCCGAGGTCGTCGGGGACGGTGTACTCCTGCTCGCCGACCTCTGACGGCGCCTTGCCGGTGGGGGCTAATTGCTGCCCAGCCCGTTTCGCGCACGCACTCGCGCTCGACCCCTGGCCCCGCTTCGCGACGAGGATCTCGAGCACGGCACTCGAAGCTGCTCCGCCAGCATCGGCTTTGGAAGCAGGGGCCCCTCGTCTGGCGGCGTCGGCGGCGCCCCCGGGCTCAGCGCGCCGGCTTCCGCCCTCCTTCGACCACGTGCTGAAATCGGCCGCTGGGGTCGCTGGAGCTGCTGCATGTACCGTCTGCTGCTGCTGTCGCTGCTGCCGGCGCATCTGCAGCTTCGCCCGGAGCTCTCTCCAGCTGCTGGTGCTGCCCCTCCGCTGTCACTCCTTGCTGCTGCGCTGCCACCTGAGCTGTGGTCTGCGCGGCTGCGGTGGCACGCAGGCCCTGCCGGGTGGCCGAGCTGGAATTCGCTGCCGTCCGCCCCGCTCTTGCCAGTCCTCCCTGCATGCTCGAGTTAAGTGTACTCAGCGCCATGTGCAGCTGCGTGACCAACGAGTGCTGCTCGCGGGCGTGATTCTGCATCTGGCCGTGCATGTACTGCAGTTTCCTGTCCGTCTCGATCTGCCACTCGCTGGTTGTCGCCCCTGGTATTCCTGCCGTACGACTTGGCCCAGGCAGCGCACTCCTGGCTGACGTCGGTGGTGTTCCGCGCGCCTGGGATGATGCCCTGGCTGGGGACGGCGATGGGCGCCGCCCTCTGCCCACGCGGAACGGGTCGAGCGCGCGCGCTCGTGCTTGCCCTCGTTGGCCAAGGGCTTGTGGATGAACTGGACTGGGTCGTCCAGCTCCATGTCTTCGCCCTTCCTGCGTCCTCTGACCTGCTGCGCTGCCCGAGACTGCCCTCGGGCTGCGAATGCGGCTGCTGCCCGAGCAGCACTCCGCCCGACCCCCACATGCCGTGCTCTCGCGCCCGCACTTGCACGGCTTGGCCTGCGGGCGGGCTGCTGCGGCTGTTGCCTGCTCGACCGCCTGCGCGGCCTCGACGCTCTCCATATCCTTGACCAGCTCGTTGATATCCGCCTCCTCGCTGTGCAGGTCGTGATCCTCCTGCGGCATGTCACTGGTATCCCTGGCGATCGTCTGGCGGCGCTCTGCTATTTTGTCCTGGCCACTGAGCGCATCGCGAAAAAGCTGTACTTCAACCTCGCGATCTCGACGCGCTCATCCTGGTAGTCCTTCTCCGCGTCTCTCTTGGACTTGATCAGCCTCACTAGCTGGAAGATCCTCTGCTCGACGATCTTCTTGAACTCCTTCTGATATTTCTCCTCCGATGGTTGTGCCGTCCAGGCCGGATGGCACTCGGCTTCCTGCGGCATTGCTAAGGGGATCTCTTTGATGATTTTCTCAAGCTTCTTCTGTGTGTCGGTGTCCTCCTTGGCCCATGGCGGTGTCTTCGCTGCAACCTTCGCCTGAGGACCCTTCTGATGGGGACTGTCCTGATGCCCACGTCCACGCCTTCCCGCATGAGCAGCTACATGCTGTCACTGGCAAGTCCTTGCTGCACTTGGGGCATTGCCAATAGGCGGGCATCGAGGCAGCGTGGTGTTTCCGTGGGTTCCTTGCAGCCTTCCACAACCTGAGAAAAATCTGTCAGTTACCCGCTTGGCGCGAGCCCGGCGGTGCCGCGCTGTTTCCTTGAGGCGCAGCCCGTTCTCTTCGCGGGGTGGTCTCAAGATGGCTGCGGTACGCGGCGGGCTCTCCCGCAACGCGAAGGGTTGGGCCGGCTCTGACCCTTTGCCCCGTGGGCGACAAGAACCGTTTCGGCCCGACGCCTCCTCCTCCTCCTCCTCCTCCTCCTCCTCCTCCTTCTCCTCCTCCTCCTTCTCCTCCTCCTCCTCCTACTCCTCCTCCTCCTCCGCCTCCTCCTCTCCCCCTCCTCCTCCTCCTCCTCCTCCTCGTCCTCCTCCTCCTCCTCCTCCTCCTCCTCCTCCTGCCTCTCCTCTTCCTCCTCTTCCTCCTCTTCCTCCTCCTCCTCCTCCACACACACACACACACGCGCGCGCGCGAACACGCAAAGACAGAAGAAGCAAAGCACGGAGGCTGCACTCACTACAACGGGCCGCACTGACGTGGCGGCGTCAACGTCAGGCCACATCGGCGAGACGTCGTGCCCCCCCCCGCTTCCCATGCTGAGATGTCCAGGTCCTGATTCCGCCGAGCGGCGCACCGCGGCGATCACGGCCAAGCTCTCGATGGCGTCCATGCCACTGCACAGCGGCTTCTCCTGCGGACGTGCAGCGGTCGCTCTCCAACCCGCCACAAGCTCTGTTCCCCACTGTTCCCCACTGTTCCCCGAATCCTCCCATACACCGGGGGCTCGTGTGAGCGAATAACGTTTCGTATGGGGGCACAATGACCAAAGACCAGGGGTGAAACTGTTCAAGGACACTAGCGTACACGATAAAGAGCACCCGTACACACACACACACACACACACACACACATACACACACAGCACGAATACAACCTTGTGCGACGATCGGCGCTACAAAATCATTCACATCGCCATCCCATTGCCCATAGGCTTCCAAGAAGAAGCCCCCTGATCACTTTACAGCCAGAGCGCTTATTCACCAACACGTCACCGTTGCTACTGGGCCGCCCTCATCAGAACCGCACATACCTCTTCTCTGGCCATGCACAAACCTCGTGGTGGCAGGTGGCATCACCCTGCACGCGAGGGATAGAAACACGCGCACATTGTTTGGGGAGACAAAAAAAAGGTACGGATCCCGCTGTCCCCCGGACCTCCCTGGGATGCGCTCTGACCAGGACTTCGGGGCGAATCCAGCGGTGGCGACGAGTGACCCCCGGGAGGCCCAAAAAGGGGACAACGGCCGAAGGGCAGCGGTGTGGTAGGAGAGCCCAGAATCGAATCAACAAGTCGGATCGGCGATCGAAATGAAGATGATCGGCGAACATCGGCATCCGAGTCGGGAGAAGTCGAATCGGCAGAAATCGGCAGGCCAGTCTGCCTCCATTGAGAAGCCGGGAGCCAGGTCGGAATCCGCAGCCGAATCGAATCGGAGTCGGACGCCACCGAAAAATCGAGCCAGAGCGGATCGGAGGAATCGAGCCGAGCCCAGGCATGTGGGCCATGAGTGTAGGGGGCCACGTGCGAACCCTACCCCTACCCCCCACGATTCCTGAGGGGGAGGGTGGGGTTCACTTCGTTCGGGAGCTCCCGAGCGAAATGAACCCCCCACCCTCCCCCGTCAGGAATCGTGGGGGGGTAGGGGGTAGGGTTCGCATGTGGCCCCCTAGAATGGGCACCCGCTCCTCCCCTGACTCCCTGGCGTCGCGGCCGCGCGCGCGGCACCGCGGCGAGCGCGGCAGCGCCGCGCGGGCGGCCGGCCCAGGGCGAAAGCGGCGCGGGGGCCGGGGTCCGCCCACATGGGCACCGGTCGGGCCACTCGCGGGGGGGGGGCCCGAGGGGGGGCAGGGTGGAGAGACGGGCGTGTATGAAGGGGCCCCAGGACACACAAATAAATACACACAAATAAAAATATGCCCCATGTTTTCCCATATTTTCTGGGTTTTTGTCTTCCCCCCACTTTTAATATTTTCCAATATTTTCTGAAGAATCGACGATTAATTGTGTCTGTGTGTTTTTTCCCCTCCTGAGTGTACGAAAGGGGCGCGACCGCAAGGAGACGTCCACCAGCAACCCAACCCCAAACCCCGAAGACGCCCCCTCGCCATCGCTCGGACGTCCATTCCCTGTGCTTTTATTCGGTTTCGTGCGTGTTTTTTTCGCCAAATGATCAAGGATGCCCCTAGATGGTCCTCGCCGAAGGAAAAAAATGCACACGTCCGAGCGATGCCAAGCCCCTTGAATATTGGTGAGGGGGCGTCACGCTTCCCATCGCCAGACCGTCGAGACCCAAGACACCCAGGGCACCCTGGAGGCGAGCACGGTGCCTCTCGGCATAGGCCCCCATTGTAGAAGCAAAACAATAGCACGGCACAAGCACAAGCTTCTGGCGCTCCGGGCGGATGTCTATTAGATCTGCGCAGGACCTCCCTCCCTGGCGCGCGGAGCGCGCCAGGGGCGGCGCCGGAGGCACCGCCAGGGGCGCCGGCCCAAGACTCCCACGCCGACCTCCGACAGTTCATGATGCTCGAGCTCCGAGCGCCGGGGGGGGGGGCCTGGCGCAGGGCCAAGGAGTCCGCGCGGAGCGCCCAAAGCTTATGTTTAGGCCGTGCTCTCTCCTTCGAGTGCAGGGTTAGGTCGGGCATGGCCTCCTGCAGGCGGATTTCGGGAGGAAGCAGCCAGGAAGAATCAAACATGGTCGGAACTGGTGGAAAGATCGTCCCCAGACTATGGTCTGAGTATTTGTGAGCATTCCTCCTGTATAGGGACATGCGCCCGATTCGAGTGTCAGGGGGCGAGACGGGACGAACCGGCGCGCAGCGCGTGGCAGCGCAGAGGCGCGGCGGCGGGCCCCAGCGGCGGGGAAGGCGCGGTGAGGGGGCCCGGCCCCTGCAGGCACCGGGGTAAGGCAGCAGAAGCACGCGCGCACGCACACGCAGACTATCACACGGTGGCGACGGCCTTCATCATGCCCCAAGGCTATGATGTTCCAACCTGCTTGAGCCCGAAGACCAGAAAGAGTGTCGAGCAGCAGGGACGTACCGAAACTGGAGGGTTGTTTCACGTGTCGGGATCTCGGAGGCGAGACTCGTTCGACACTGTTTCGGTACTTTTCTGGATGCCCGAAATCATTTCTGGGATTTGGTCCTTACGCACAACATAGCCCAAAGCCAGGGCCCGGCGGGTACAAGACATGGGTGCACCGCACCTCGGTTCAACAGATGGAATCCTTAGGTCGACGCTGGGCCCTCCCTGGCGATGCCTCCGGCGCCGCCCCTGGCGCGCTCCACGCGCCAGGGAAGGGGTGCCCAGCGCGGATTCAAGAAATCCACGCGGAGCTCCGAAAATGTATGTGTATGCAGTGTGTTCGTCTTCGGTTCTCTTTGGGAGATTGACAGAACACCCTTTCCCAAAACGCATTTAGGGGGAAACTGCCAGAGCACTCCAAGTGCGCACGGCACCACATGTCGAGTGAATCACAGTGGGGCAGCTGATCGACGCCAAAAACGCACGTGCCTTGCGAAACGCACGCCGATCAGCGAGATCGACTAGAAACTGCCCCGGCACGCTCGAATGCCAGTGTCGAGTAAACTCGCGCAGATGTCCTCAATCGACCTGTCTGCGTGGGCCGATTCTCCACCACCACTACCGGAAGTAGGAGATGGAGGAGAAGGATGAGGACGAGGAGGACCTCCCCCTAACGTGCTCGAAAAGAAAAGAGGCCTTACGCGAGATGGCACAGCGATCTCACGCCGCGGCTTACGCGGACCGCCAAAGCGGCACGCCACACTGGAAACGAGGGCGCCTACTCGTGACCTTATGCAAGCAGCTTACGCGCGACTGCCCTCGCAGTCGTCCCCTGTTTCGTCCGTCGCTCAAGGAGCGAAGGGGCCCGTCTGGCCGCGGCCGAACCTCGGCCACGCACAGGGCTCTGGGTCCCCCGATCTGTGTATCTGAGGAGCGGCCCGAAAACCACAGCCCCGCCTGAGCCCAAAGGGGTACCTGCTCCAGCGTATTGACTGCGCGCCTGGCTCTGCTGGCGGGCGGGGTCTCCTCCCCGCGGCAGACGCGGACGAAGTGCTCCATCTGGACCTGCCCGCGGCGACGCCCGCGGCGGCGGGGCCTCGCCGTGCGCCGTGACACGGGCGATGCATCGGCGCTGCATCGGCGCTGCACCGGCGATGCACTGGCGACGTCGGCGATGCATCGGCGACGTCTATGTGGAGAAAATCGTGACCCCTATCTAGCCGCATCGCCGACGCATCGCCAATGCCTCGGCGATGCGCGCGATCCTCCGACTCCATCTGCTCCGACCCCATCTGAGAGGCCTAGAGTGAGAGGCCTAGTCTGGGTGGGCAAGATGCTCGCCATGCCCAGCCCCTGCAGGGAGCCGGGCCCCGACTGGCAAGGCCGCGGGCTGTGCACAGGCGGCCCCCCCGAATTGATGGGCCTGTTTTCCACCACCACCACCACCACCATAAGTCGGAGGGGGGAAGGAGGTGGAGGACGAGGAGGAGGACGAAGAGGAGGAGGAGGAGGAGGAGGAGGAGGACGACGACGAAGAGGAGCAGGAGGAGGACCCCGTCCCCCTCCAACTTCTGATGGTGGTGGTGGTGGAAACCAAGCCCACCACGAGTAGTCCCGGCCGGCCTCAACAGGCCCCCCGAGTAGTCCGGGGGCGGTCTCGACATACGAGCGCCGCCTCCGGCGGCGCCCATGGGGCGCTCCGCGCCCCAAGTTTGCGGTGTGGAGACCGCCCCGGACTACTCGGGGGGCCTGTCGAGGCCAGCCGTTATACGTACTACCTGGGGGGGCTGCCTGTGCGCAACCCGAAGCCTCGCCACCTGGGGCCGTCCAAAAACGCCTCGGGATGAAGCGCTGGCCCCAGGGAAGGGGTCGAGAGGTCATGCCGCGCAACAAAAACCACGGCGTCGGGGTTCGGGGGACGCGGCACTGCCTGGCTGCTTCTGGGTTCCGCGCCGGCGGCACTCAGAGAGCCCCACTTCCGAGTGATGCTCGCGGGCGAGAACCACATCCGTATCCGCGGCCACGCGGGTCGGGCCCCCGGGCTGCGACCCCGCGGACACGGGGCGTTCCGTCGCGGATGCCCCGCGCGGCTCCGTTTCCGATGATCCAGCGACCGCCTGTGAAACCGTTACTTCTGCTTCTCGCAAACATCGAGAGGCAGATCATGGCGACGACGAACGGCGACCGTTCTGGAAGTACGAGGATCTCCCCACTCATGAAGCCAGCTTCGCTGCACGCATGCTGGAAGACCTTGGCGGAAACGGGGTGGGGGAACTTGAGGGTGCACGACCGTGCAACTCCATGAAACACGGGCTCAACACTGCCACGCAACTGCCAAAAACTTGCGGGTAACGCCGTGACGTGATACTCAATCCTCTGCTCACGCAGAAGAGGTCGAAGGAATGTGCCACCGTACTGGATGGTGTCGTCAATGGGTTGCTGCGATCTGGCACCATGCCCACCTTCCACACTGCTGGCGGCGCTGGAAGTATCGCCCACCGCGCTGCCACCGTCAATGATGCCCTGGGTCTGCGCTGTCAAGTCTTTGGTCTCGACGCCCTGCGCAGCGATCTGGTTGTTCTGGTTGGCGAACGTGGCGTTGGTACGATGTTGTGTCCACCTGCGCGCTGTTCCTGATTATACCGTGGTTGTCGATCTGACTCGGGGGGCTTCTTGCCTGAGTCGTCTAGCTTGGTGGTGGTGTGACCCTGATACTCTCTCATGATCCTCCTCGCGTCGTTCAAGATTCCATCCGTGCTGCCAACGCGACTGTTCGTGTCACCTGCCGACAGTCGCCTCTCAGTGTCTGAGCGAGAACGAGTAAAGCTGTTGGAAAGGCTCATGGGACGCGAATGAGTCTAATTATGACTTCTTGTTAGCGTGAACCTTCGCTGTTTCTGCTGCCGGTCTTTTCGAACCCGCCTGATGCTGACGTTCCAGCTTTGCTTCCGAATATCACTCTTCGCCATGCCGCAGACAAATGACGCGAGACTGGCGGAACGAGGAACGTGACCACCCACGGACGCCGGGC